GTCTGAATAGATAGACAATAGATAGATAGAGGTACATGTATAATCAGACAAATACAGATAGTAATGTTACATGCATAAATAGACAAACACAGATGATAGTGTTACATGGTTACAATATACAAATTTAGATAATAGTGTTACATGTCTAAAAACATTATTTGAACCTCAATTAAACGGTTGCTCTTCGTTCTTGAATTTATTAGTATATTTTTAGTATGAAAGCCTTTTACGATCACGCAATAAGAAATGTTTATAATTATCAAATAAGAAAGCCAGGTCTAGTAATATAATATAATATCCATCTCACGCACGGTGAATACTAGACCTGGCTTCTTTAGTATTTCCCCTTTTCTAGCGAGATTAATGCTCGACAAGCGTACATATAAATTTTAGATCAAAATAGAATTCTTTTCATTTTTCATTCAAAATACTCAATTTTTAGGAATACGTTTTCACAGCGTCGCCCACGTGATGACAACGTGACCATGTTTTAAACGGGGCGCTGATCTTATAAAACTTTCATTTAACTGTTTGGATAAGTCTTGTTCTTATGTCGATCGTCGTTGTCATGTTGAATTGATAATGTTAATTATATTTTATGAATATGTCCTGAAGATGGTTTATTAGACCGAAACGTCCGACGTTGACATTATATTAACATTAAAACAGCATAATTGCATATAAGGATTTTTGTTTGTTTTTTCCGTATATTTTTCTTCATACTGTCGGATCTATATCCATATATTTGCTTACATATATATATATATATATATATATATAAAGCATTCACGCTATATTCAAATAATAGATAAAAAATATGTCCGCCTTAGATAATAAATTCTCAAACATAAGTCTATCAAGAAATCTGTCAGTGTGTGTGGCACTCGTCGATCTCGACAGACCGTGGATCTGCACCTAAAGAGTTATGCCTCAGCTGCTAGTGGCGGGGCATCATCTGTTAGGGCTATACAGGCCCACACGTGAATGACAGTCTCGATTGCAACGAATGCATGTGAAGAGAAGATGTTTTTCCCCGATTCGCCGTGTTGTTTTCTTCCCTTCGAGCACGCTTCACCCCGGCGGCAAGCCTACGTTTCTTCTCTCCTCGCTCCAGCCCACGGTATAAATCGCGTCTCTAACGGGTGCGATCGTTGGGGACGTCCTCCTACCTCTTGGTGTCCATGTCCATTGCCCTCATGTCCCTTTTGCGGGTGTCCTTGAAGCGAAAATGAAGTCGTCCTCTTTCCGGTGGCCAGTTCTCCATACAAAAGGAATCCTCCCATCAATAGACTGTTGTTTCCGGTGTTTTTGCCGTCGCGATGAGGAGACACTGGAGTGTTATCTCCAGGGCGCAGGCCTGGGTCGGGTTTTATGAGAGATCAGCGGTTGCCGATGCAGCAAGTCTCCACGACTCCACGCCACCGATGTTGTCCAATAGAAAGGCAGGGGCTAATGCATCTTGTCACCGACGTTGTCAAAGGAGTTGCCAAAACGAAATAGAACATGACATCAGACTGTCTTAGGGATTTGTCCTCAGGGTTTACTCCCGAAGCCTTTGGTTATGGTCCGAAGCGAAGGTTTAAATTCAAAGTTTTCCTTCTCTTAGGTTGACTACCCTCCCGAACTGACGAATTCCATCTATCCGAAGTATACATATAAACATATAAACACTTATATATATACGTGTTTACACTGGATGTCGGAGTAAACAGTTCATCATCAAATGTACCACGAGGAATTATTATTACATATTTTAAATGATAATAACAGAAATCAATAAATAAGTAAGAAAGTAATAAAAGTATAAATTTATCATCAAATATATGATACTTTTTTGTTAAAGAAATGAAAGAAAAGTAACAGAATAAATTAACTATTCTGAACCGATAATAAAAGTACTAAAAAAACCCAACAAAATAACATTACGAATCGAAACACTTTTCCTACAAATTTGAAAATACGCCCTCGTCCATAAAAAATGTTACGTTAAATTCGATAAACAAGAAAAGGATAAATGCATAAAATTATAGGCAAATCGTGTTAAAAATGTTTGAATAATAAATGATAGAGAAAGAAATCGAAGATACTGAACGAATAGTCAGAAAACTAAACGAACTTTACTACTCGAAATGTTTTTCCTACAATTTCGAAAATTCCGTCCACTTGCCTAAAAAGAGAAATCTTACCCTTAAATATAAATAGAATAGAATTATTCGTGCCAATGTATGCCATTTAAAAAGTGTATTAAATGTTCTTAATATAATAATTCTTAGTGAGATATTCTTAATAAGTTAAACTTGCTAAATAAACAAAAATAAGAAAGCGATTAGCACCGCCTAAAACACCCACATCTGTGTTAAAAAATGCTTTTAAAAAAAAAGTAATATGTGTTTCAAGTAGATTCATTAAACTTTAAATCAACCAATCAGCGTATTTTGTTCTTTTTTAGGACTCTATTCAGTTAATGTTCGGCATGATTCTACTGAATATAAATATATGC